GGCTCCTGGGGTCTCTACATTGTGGCTGGGGCTCCCCACCCGTCCCCCTCCCCCCACAGGGGCTGCAGGCTCTCCGAGCACCAGGCCAGCCCAAGCGAGCTCTGAAATGACGTCACTGGCACGTGCCGCGTGACTTTCGCTCCTGTCTCTGGTGGGAGCCCTGAGCGTTCCAGGGGGCACCGGGGTAGGAGGCCCTCCAGCCTCAGCATGTCAGTGTCTGCCTTTCTGCCCACCCGCTGCAGAGTACGTAGGAGGCCACCCCTGCCAGCTGCTGCGCTCCATCTACATATTCATATTCCAGCTGCAGAGGCTGCCTGAGCTGCTCTTGTCTTTGGGTGACTTCCAGGTGAGAGTGGGGGGTGGGGGAGGTGGGAGCAGGGAGTGGGGCTAGTTGGCTGGGGGAGCTGGGGATCCGGGGAGGAGGGGAGTGGGAAGGGACCTGGCAGCCGTGGCTCAGCTTAATTAGGATTCCAAATGTGCCCATTTATAGAACTGCCCCTTCGCTCTCCCTGGGTGTAGCCACCTCTGGGGAGGGATGTGGCACCTGGTAACCACCCACTATGCAGCATGTTAGGGCTGAAGGGCAGGGTGGAATGGCCCCAGTGGGAGTTTAACCCTGACTTGGGAAAGCTGCCAGGGGATCGTTAATGACTGCAGACATTTACAGCTCTGGTGTGCAGCTCCTTCAGCGCCCCATACAGCCCTGCTGGGGTATTGGGATCGGCACTGACTCCTGAGGTGAGGGCCCAGCACCATTGGGGCCAGCACAGTGCAGGGGGAGAAAACCTGCCTACTGAGTGGTGACTGGCACTGCGTCCGGCACTCCCTTGCCTTTCAGCTTGGGGGGTAAAACAGAGGCCCTAACCCCACTGGCACTTGTTAAAGATCTTGGGTGCTTTTTGCAAGGGTGCTGGCCTGGCTGAATTCTGGGATTATACGCAGCTAGGGAATTCAATTCTGTCCCTCTCCCCACCCCGCTGCTTTCTTTTGGATGCACCAGTTGAGCTCCCTCTCCTCCTCCTGTCCCAGTGGCTGGGTTCCACCCCAGCAGTGGCTGCATGTCAGTGGTGGGTGGAAATCTAATCTACCATTTTTTGTGTGTGTATTAACCATGGCCCTGTAAGTCAGAGGGACAGTGGCTGCTTTGTAAACGGGAAACACCCATGCTAATTAGGGATCATCCCGTTCCTAATGGCTGCTGTAATAAACTGCTGGTTAATTAGCAGGTGCGGAGGATAGAGATTAATGGGAAGGGGCTGGGAGTAGCTAGAAGGAGGGGCAGGAGTGACATCATGGAATTCATGCTGGATAAAGGTCGCTCCTACAGCAGGGTTGGGAAGGGGGAACTAGTCAGCCCCACATTAAATGGGGGAGAAGCTAGGAACCGGTAATGCAGCTAGAGAGCATGGGATTGGGGGATCCCAGCGAGCGGGGCGGGAATGAGTATCAATTAATTGGGCAGCTGATAATATCCCAACAGACCTGAAATGAAGGGGGGAACAATGGGCGTGACCCTCCCAGGATGGGGCCACAGACTGTGTTGTGGGGGTGGGGGGCTGGGATAAAAGCTACCGACTGCCTTTGGGGCAGTAATTCCTGGAACTGCTGCAGGAGCAGCTAAATAGCAATCCAACGAACTCGGCTTTGGAGGGAGCTGAGCTTTATACTAAAGGACCCTGGCCCTTTGGAGCAAGGGGCTTTGTTCTGGACGGCCTAGAGCCAGACTTCAGGAGAAAGGTGGGAAAGTCAAACCCATGAAAGGAAATAATTAGCTGGTGGAACTCACTGCTCTGGGAAGTCATTGAGGCCTGAACTTAGTGAGGTTCGAACTTAGTGATGTTTCTCGGGGTCAGGAAGAGAGCCAGAGTTGTTAGGTTATGACCAAAACCAAAGGCAAAACGCCATGCTGGCCAGGAGATCGACAGTCCTGCTTCAGAGCCTGGGAGGAGACCTTGTGGGGACTGGGGGTGAGTTCTTACCCCTTCCTCTCTAGCAGCTGGCACTAGCCCTGTCCGAGACGGGATCCTGGGCTAGCTGGGGTGTGTGGCTGATCCAGGTTGGTGATGCCCATGTCCCCTCCTCCCCATCTGTGTCTGTCCTGTCCATGCCTGATCTGGAGGCAGGAGCTCAGCAGTGTGACCACCTCTCTCTACATCCTCACTGAGGAGATGTATTTTAGGGTCCCTCGTTATTCTGGGATTCTCTCCTGGGATTCGGGATGCTTGTGTGACTCTGTCATGGGGAGGGGCAGGACTCGGCCCTCTCTACACACACTGTTTGGGCCACCACCGGGGAGACAGCCCTTGCTTGATCAAAGCCACGTGGGGGTAGGGTGACCAGACATCCCGATATTGTCCCTACAAATTGTCCCGATATCTGTCGGCAGCGCTTTTTTATTTTGCTCCCCCCATGTGTCCCGATTTTTTCTTTCCCTCATCTGGTCCCCCTAGGTGGGGGTTCTAGAGCAGTGCTTCTCAACGACCAGTGCTAGGACCAGCACCAGTCCCTGAGATCTCCCTGACACGCTTGGCAGACAGCAAGCTTGTTCCTGGTACGAAAAAGGTTGAGCAGCACTGTTCTAGGAGAAGCAGCGTGAGCATGCGAGGGGCCCATCCTGGGATAGAGGAGACGGAATAGGTCAGTTTCCTCTGTGGAGGCCGCTGACTCCAGGCTAAGCCTGCAGGCTAGGAAGAATGGGGGGCAATTTTGGGGAGCACCCCACCTGTCCCAGTAGCCGGGCAGGGTTATCTCTGGGAGAGGGAGCCCCCATACGCCAGGCTTTTGACACTAGCTGGAACTCTCTTTCTGCATTTCATGGGGGCTCCCCATCCCTGCCGTGGGGAGCAGGCTCACCGGGTTCTGTAGGGAGCTAAGATTTGGGGCATGACAGTCTGTTGGCCAGGAGCCAGGCCCTCACCCCTTTGGCTCGCCAGGCTCCAGATCCGAGCCACCCTTTCGGAGGGATTAGGCTACCTGGCTCTGGATGGAGCATGATGGTATGTCTGCTGGGAGCTGCTCACCAGGCCCCAGATCTGAGCTGTCCCTGACCCCGGCAATGTCTGTCCTGAGGCAGCTGTTGAAGGACACTTTGGCAGGCAGGAAGGGAGGAATCCAGAACCCTGAGCGGCGCCTGACGACACAGGAGCTGGAGGCCTACGTGTTCAGCTTCTCCAAGCCCGGAGCGCTGACGCCACCCCTCGATTACTACAGGAACATGTTCAGGTAGGGCCCCTGCCCCTCCATGGAGCTCACCCCAGTGCAGCACACTGAACCCAGTGAGTTGCCCCTCTGATGCTGGGGAGATGGGATGGGTGAGGGCACACGTGCTGGGCTGGGAGGAGCAGGAGGGGGAAGTGGCTGCTGCAGCCCCACTGGCTGCCCGAGCAGCCCTGCAGGGAATGAGTGGAGGGGCTAGTGGGTGGCAGCCCCGAGGCAGGGAAGGGATGTGCTGGGGCTTGCACAGGACTGTAGGATCCCATTCCACCCCGTGCTTCCCTGACACTGCCCAGAGCCAAGGGCCGGGGGATCTGTGTGCACTGGGAGCTGCTGCCCCTCTTTGCTCCCAGAACCAAATCTGTGGTGTAGTCGCCCCTGGGAGAGTCTGGTGCTGCCAGGCAGGGCCGGTTCCAGGGTTTTGGCCGCCCCAAGCAGTCAAAAAAAAAAGCCGCGATCGCGATCTGCGGCGGCAATTCAGTGGAAGGTCCTTCACTCCGAGCGGGAGTGAGGGGCCATCTGCCGAATTGCCGCCGAATAGCTGGGCCTGCCGCCCCTCTCCGGAGTGGCCGCCCCAAGCACCTGCTTGCCAAGCTGGTGCCTGGAGCCGGCCCTGCTGCCAGGGGTAACTATGGGCATGTTGACACTACAAACTTAGGTTGACCTATGTTAGGTCGACCTACAGCCACTGCAGATTCATATCCACACTACCCTCCTTACCAGCACAATTCCACCGACTTAAGTGGGGCAGTGCAGGGGGCTGAGAGCCTGGGCTCTCAGCTCTGTGCGTGGCTGCCCCCCACCCTTCCCTGGGCTCTCAACTCCCAGATATCCCTGATGCCCCTCCCGCCCACGGCTCCCCACGGGGAACTCCGCACCTGGAGCCTGGGCGGCTGCCAGGCTCCTGACGGGGAGCCAGGAACTGGGAGTCCAAGGGCAGCCGGGCTCTAGCTGGAGCCCTACACCCACCCCAGGGTGACAGCCTGAACTGTGAGCTGGGCTCTAAGAGGGAGCCGTGAAATTAACAGAAATGACATCCAATAGCTGATGTTGGATGACACGGACGCTGTGTCACCCTATCTACACTGACATAAGCCCTAAGCCTCTTGTGGAGGTGGAGTAGTTATGTCAGAGTAGTAGTGCACTTACATCAGCAGGAGCAAGGCTGTAGTGTTACTCCTGGGGAAATTCTGTGCCACTGCGTGTGTGCAGAATTCATGTTCCCTGCAGATTTCTTTGCTTTCCTGAAGAAAAATGATTTTCTGGCAGGGAAGCAAAGGGAAGCTCCAAGAGCAGTCACGCACCACTCCCTAGCCGCGCAGGAACATCATTTCAGGCATCCGGAGTAGCCAGTGGTGACGTAAATCACCACAGGGCTGGGGACACCCCGGCCAGTGGCTCCTACCCTGAGCTGGGATTAGCTGCTAGTCCCGGCTGGGCTGGAGGCAGGAGAGGACGGGACTTCCTCTTCCCCTGCATGGAGTGGCTGGGGCTGTGTCAGACCCACCCCCAGAAACCTCCCTCAGCTGCAGGAAGCTCAGCATCCTCCCCTGCTTCCTGCCCCCATCGTTCCTAAGCTGTGGGGACGGGGGGCAGTGTACAGGGAGCTGCTCCCCCAACCGCCCAACCCCTGTGCATATGGACCTCCCATACCCAGACACCCCTGCCAAGCTTCACCCCGTACACCCAGAACCTCCATGCCCGAACCCCACCCCACTGAACCTCAACCCCTGCATCTGGAGCCCCCTGCACCCAGACCCCCTGCCTCCAACCACCCCCCACTGAGCTCTCTACACTCAAACCCCCATCCTGATGAGCCCCACCCCCTGCACCACCCTGAGCTCCCACTTCCAGACCCCCAGGCCACTGAACCCCCCAACTAGCTGCACCCAGACCCCCGTGCTGGGCCCCAACCCCTTTCACCTGGAAGCCCCTGCAGAGTCCCATTGCACCCCCCCAACGAGCCTCTGTGCATCAGATTCCCTCATACCTAGACCCCACACTGAGCTGCCTGCATCCAGATAGTCCCACACAGAATCCAAAACCCCAACACTGAGCCCCTCCACACTTTGATCCTCCCTGGTTGAGCCTGCCTACCCCAGACCTGATGTGCCTGGTGCAGAGGGCCCCAGTGTGTTTCTGGAGTAGGCCCAGGCCTTGTGCAGAATGCCCTCAGGAGTAGTAGGGTGGACACTGATATAGCTAGGTCGATGTAAGGCAGCTTACGTCTACCTAACTGTGTAGTGTAGACCAGGCCTTAGTCAGGTGCTGCCAGGCCTGTGAGTGGCAAGACAAGACCCCCAGACTCTCGCTGGGGTAGCAGGTCTAACTATGGAGTTCTGGGAAGGAAGGTGCAGTCAGGCAACTGCCCCAGAGGCTGCGCCACCCCCCATCAGCACTAAGGTAACCTGAACGCCCTCCCCCGTATTCCGCTTACCCTCCTGTCTTTGTCCACCATCCCTGTGCTGTGAGGGGGCTCTGTGCCCACTGCCCTGGGCAAGTGGTCACCTCTCTCTCTCTCTCTCCCCCTCCCTGCAGCAGGAGCTCCATGCAGTGCAAGGACGTGCTGGTGCCCACGCTGGTGATCTGGGGGGAGAAGGACATGTACCTGGAGGCTGGGATGATCCCCCTCCTGGAGCAGTATGTGCGCAAGTGCTGCCGCGTGCGGCGCATCCCTGAGGCCAGCCATTTTGTCAGCGAGGACCAGCCCGACAAGGTCAATCAGCTGATCTGGCATTTCCTGCGGGAGAGTGACTGAGCGGGCCCTATTTACTGGCTTGGGTGTGGCAAGGCAGGGACCTGATCCTGGCAAACAAGCCCCGGACCCTCCACTGGGCCAAGCCCCCGCCCCCCACACTAATTGGTCTTGTGCCTGGGGTACCATCCCTCCAGCAGCAGGTCACCCCTCCAGATCCTGCCTGAGCCCTCCTGCAGAGAGGAGCCCTGAGCTCCCAGACATATAGGTAGGGCCCTACCAAATTCACGGTCCATTTTGGTCAATTTCAGAATCATAGGATTTAAAAAAAATAAAAATAAAAATCATGATTTCAGCTATTTGCATCAGGGTGTTGTGATTGTATGGGTCCTGACCCAAAAGGGAGTTGTGGGAGGGTTGCAAGGTTATTGTGTGTGGGGTTGTGGTACTGCTATCCTTCCTACTGGGCTGTTGCTGCCAACGGCGCTGCCTTCAGAGCTGGGCAGCTGGAGAGCAGCTGCTGCTGGCCAGGAGCCCAGCTCTGAAGGCAGAGCTGCCGTCAGCAGTAGCACAGAAGGATGGTATGGTATTGCCACCCTTACTTCTGTGCTGCTCCCTGCAGAGCTGGGCCCTCAGTCACCAGCCACCACTTTCCAGCCGCCCAACTCTGAAGGCAGCAGCACAGAAGTAATGGTGGCATGGTATGGTATTGCCACCCTTACTTCTGCGCTGCTGCAGGTGGGGCACTGCCTTAAGAGCTGGGTGCCCAGCCAACGGCTGCCTCTCTCCAGCCACCCATCTCTGAAGACAGCGCAGAAGTAAGGGTGGCAATACAGTTTTAATCTGGAATCGCCCTGAATATGGACATTGGACTATAACCCCGTGGACTAATTCTGAAAGAACTCTTTGCAACTGCAAAGCTCACCATCTCTACTCCAAATTTAATCTCCAGAACTGTACTCGTGTCTGATCTTCCATGCTGATCTTTTAACCAATTCCCTCCCTCTTTTCTTTTAATACATTTTAGTGTAGTTTAGAAGAATTGGCTGTAAGGGTGTATTTGGGTAAGATCTGGAATATTCATTAACCCGGGAGGTAATGTATCTGATTCTTTAGGATTGGTAGAACTTTCTGATATGATGAATAAGATTTTCATTGATCCTCCTCCTATTTGACTTGGGTGTCTGGGTGGAGGCCTGGGGCTGGGTTGCTTTAAGGGAACTGTGCGGTTAGCTTCTGGGTAACCAGTGAGGTACAACAGAAGCTGTTCTGCGCTGACTTGGTAAATCTAAGTATTGGAATATCCACCAGCTTTGGGGATTGTCTGCCCCATTCTTTGTAGCTCACCTTAATTGAGTGACCTCAGTGCAGGCTCCCCTGGGACTCCGGTCACAATGGTCTTTAGCTCTGTTGTTCCTGGCAGGTGGGAGCCCCTGCTCAGTGCCTGGAGCCAGGGTTTCACTGCAGTGGGGCCGGGGCGGTGGGGGGAGCTTAGCGCTGACCTCGCTAGAAAGGATGGCTGGGGGCAAGCAGCTCTTTTCTGCTGTGGATTCCCCACACTTACCGTTCCCCTTAGTGACTCCCTGTGCTCTGCTCACCATGCATATGGCTGGAGCTCAGGGTGCCTCTCTGCCAGGGATGGGCCCCGTAGCGCCTTGACTGTGAATCTATTTGCAGAGGGTGGTGGCCCATGGATAGAAAGTGCTGCCCAGTGCTCTGAGTGTGTTTAATACATGACATTTGGGACAGAAACCTCCCTGGTGTGGGCTGTTCACCAGCCAGCAGGTGTGGCTGGCCTTGGACAAGGGATCTGCACGTCGGGAAGCCTCCCAGGACTAGTCAGAGATCTGTGTTTACTGTGTGAGTTAGGGCTGCCCTGAACGTGCCTGTGTGGGGCTGTGCTTCCTCCCCTCTCCCCGCCCCAGGCTGCCCCTGCTTGCAGAGAGGCTGCAGTTCCCAGCTGGGATTGCTGACGGCCGGGGATCTGGTCAATGGGCGTGTGGATGCCTCTGGGGCTGACTGGGTAAGTAGGGGCAGCAGCCCAGCTTACAGCCACTGACTGGGCAGAGAGGTAAAGCTGTGCCTGCTTCCTCCCAAGTGGCTGGGGCGGGCGGGGAGGGGGACAGGAGACCACCTGGGCTGCCCCACTTGCTTGCTGTCCGAATTGCTAGGGCCCTAGCCTCCCCCCACGGAAGCCGGCCCTGAGCAGGAGGGAGTTGGCTGTTGCTGCCCCAGCCCAGTAAAACGACTCACTTTTGCTTTTCCATCAGCTGCTGCACAGACACCCCTGTCCCCAAGCCTGGGCCCCTCACTGGGGTATCTGGGCATATCACAGACACCCCTGGGTTGAAGAGGGAGGAAGCTTCCTTATCCCCATTGTACAGAGAGGGGAAGGGACTCGCCTAAGGCTGTGCAGAGTCTGTGGCAGAATGAACCCAGGTGGCCTGGCCCAGCACCAGAACCACAGACCAGCCTCCTGCTTAAAGTGCCCAGGGCTAGAAAGAGACCTCAGCAGGGGAGGCCTGGCCTGCCTTCTCCCCAGCACAGCCCCACCCCTCTGCCCCAGCTCCGGTCACCTCTGCCGCTGGAGGCTCTGCTTTCCCAGCCCTGGCTGGAGCTGCATTGCACACTGGAGGCTCAGAGAGGTTAGGGCCAGAACTAGCAGCCTCCCCCACAAAGGGGCTGAGTTGTCTGACAGCCCAGCAGGAGCATGGGGCAGAGGCTAGGCTAGAACCCAGGGCACATGGCTCCTAGGCCAGGACCTTATCCTTGGACCCCTCCTTGGGCAGGCCTGCAGCCCCTTCTCCCAGGCCCCTTCCTTTGCTAGTAGGGATGGCCAGTGTCTCTGCTGATGGCACAGGCTGGGCACAGGAGAAGCAGCTGGCTCTGGAGTAGCCAGCGTCCAAAGCAGCCGGGTTCTCTGGATTCATCCCTGTGCTCCAGACCCAGGGGTGGCCCTAGACTAGCTGCCAGCAACTGGCATCCTAGGAGAATCATGCAATCGGCGCCCCAAACCCCAAGGGCAGATCTAGGCTGAGGTTTTTGGTAAACTGGGAAACATTTTGCCCCTTTTTTCCTTTAAATGTTTTTTAAGCTTTAAACAGAGGCTTAATTCTTCGGTTTGTCTGTCCATCTGTCCAACCAATGTTTCTGAGATCAGATAAAATAGAGACACGAAATTTTCAGAATAGATTTGTTCATGACAGCTAGATGATGTTTCAGTCTGATTTCAAATAAAATGCATTAAAAAATGTTAATTATAATTTTTATCATTACAAATCCAAAATCATCCATTACGCTATACTGCTTTAACTGTCATTTCCACCACATCCAATATGGAAAGAAATAAGAAAACTCTTCAATGAACTTTAACCTGTATTTACAAAACACTCCAAATAAAAAACACTCTGTGCTCTTAAAACATGACTTTTCTTGCTTTAAGTTTTGAAAATTCAGTCTCTAGTTCTTTTAGATCAAGTTTTCCAGCTATTTCATGCTCTATTGACATTGTGGCAAGTCCAACAAGTCTCTCTTGCACCATTGTTGAACGCAGATATGTTTTTATCCATTTTAACTTTGAGAAGCTACGTTCCCCACTAGCTACGGAAACTGGCAAAGTTAAAAGAATGGCTAGAGTTATAAAAATGTTTGGAAACTTGTGAGTTTATTTTCACAAACAAACTTCAGAATTTCTTCAGGAGTGGAATGTTTAAGTTGTCTTGAAAAAGCCTGAACCTCACTACACAAATCTGTAGCATCAATGTCTTTTGAATTTTCACGAGTCAATGCCGACTCCCGTTTGATAGCAAAACAGGTAAGAGAATTTTGTGTTTTCTTTTGCAATCTGTGGATATCATATAGAAAGCCAAATACTGACTCTAGCTGCTGCATTTGTTGAAATCTTTCGTCAACCAAGTGAACAGCAGTATCAAGGACTGCGAAGTAGAAATTCACTTTGACCCTTTGTTTTGGGTTCTGAATGGGTGTGTCTCGTCCTTCAGACAAAAACTGCTGTTTCTTTTGCTGAATGTGAACTGGCTCTGGTTCAAATTCTGTCAGAGAGTCTATTTCTTCAGCAAGCTCAAGAGCATCTCCCAGTGTTCTTTTGAACCCTTCAGCACTTCTGAATAGTTTTAGTTTGCAGCAGTTTTTGAATAGCAGAATGTAGGTTCAAGTTCTTTTCCTGAATCTGCTTAGTAGTGAGGTTAATCTCGAAAAGGATGTTATACCACAAAATGAGCGAAGTCACAAATTTGAACTTGGAAAGGCCATTTGCAAGAGCTTCTGCATCTGAACGTGCAGTATTGCCAGATGATCCAGTAAAGATAGTATCAGAAATTTCAATTAGGGCATCATAAATGTTTCCAAGTTCATAGCATCAATGCGACTCTCCTATCTTGTCTCTCTAAGTGGTTTCACAGTTAGAGAATTCACATGGCGAGTCAATTCCCAACGGCATGTTGAGCCTGAGAAAAACACAAACACATTGCACCAGGTCAAAGAAACTGCTTGCCTCCAAACAGCATCTAGCAGCATCACTGCCAACCAAATTCAGAGAGTGCTCACTGCAAGGAACGAATAAGGCCCTAGGATTGATTTCCATCATTCTCCTTTGCACATCACTGTCTTTACCCTTCATATTACTCCCATTATCATAGCCTTGGCCATGTAAGTTTTCAACAGATGACATAGTTTCAAGCTCTTGTAGAATAATTTCAGTCCTAAATGCTCCAGGTGTCTCCTTCAGTGGTATGAAACCCAAAAAATGTCCCTTTATGAGCACTTCAACTTTATCTTTATCTGCAGACTTTTCCATATCCACAAAATGAATGATCGTCATTTGTTCAACATAACTCACATGTGGTGTACAGTCCAGTATTATTGAAAAGTATTTTGCAGAATGGGCAGCTTCTACAATTTTCTTTTTAATGGCATTTGCTAGGATTTGAATCAGTTCATTCTGCATATTTTTTCCTAAGTAATGAACCTCTGTTTCATGATCAGTTATTTTACGTAGATGCTCCTTCATGACTGGATCAAACAAAGCTAGGTATTCAACAAATTTTAAAAAGTTTCCCTTACCCGGAATTTTTTCTTTTTCTTTCTGCCGCGGAATGCTAAATTTTGCCCATCGAGAACTCTCACTAAAGAAATCAGACTCTCTAATATTTGTTGCCAATATTTTTTTTCTTTGATCACACATAAATTTTCTTCGATAGTTTTTCCTTTTTTCAATTGTAATTCAAGTTCTTTCCAATTTTGAAAACCTTCCAAATGTCCTGTACTTTTCATGTGAAGAGAGAATTGAAGATGTTTTTCCAGTCCTTTGAACCATTTTCAGTAAGTGATGTAC